TTGCTTACTTACCTTGCACGCCCTGTTTAGGACTTGTTGTATCTCGACTTCTTTACCTTCAGTTAGCCATCACTTAGCTCTTTAATTTCCTTTCTGCTTTCGTTGATGGGTAAAAAGGTTCAGGGACTCACTATTTACAACGAGGTAAAAGTTCATTGTAAGCCACCTGTAAGTTACGTCTGCCAATGTAAGCTACTTGTGAGCTATATGGCTGCTAGGTGCGAGCTAAATGTAAGTTGTTTCTTTATTATACTAAAAACTGAAATTGGGGTGTTACAATTTAACTCTCTTTTCCACATTTTTTCATTCAAAGAAGAACTCATGCCTTTTGATCTGTAACTGCATACGGTTTCCAACCACTTTTAGAACAAACTTTGGTAGTCCAAGAATCAATGAACTTCCTATATTACATAACTGAATTATTTTGCAAGATGGAAGCAAACACCTATCTTGATCTCTCATTAAGTAATGGGACACAAAAAATTACCCTTCTTTCGAACAGAAAAGCAGAAATTTCTCCTGTACCAATGACACGAGTTTCTTAAAGGGCACAAGAATAAGCTAGAAAATAAATGGTAATCATCAGTCAGGGAAGGTTACTAATAACAAACTATATTGTTAATTCAATATCTCTCCAAACTGTGTTTCTTCTGCTGCATAATCAATGTAGTGTTTCTTTGTGCTTGACTTGTAACCCTTTTGATTTAATTCTTGAGGTTTGATTGGCAGCCTAAGGAACAACTGTTCTCTAGAGGTTTTAATTTATTTTTTCCGTATGTTTGATCAGTTGACATTCTATTGTAATGGATGGATAATACTTTGTTTTGTCATTTTTTTGCCATTTTTGTTGTTTCATTGAATATTTAAGTTTCCAATATGTAGGCTGAGGCTAAAATACTTAGAGGGCCACATGAGGACCTTGAAAGCTATCTTGAAGCTATTGAGCAGCTAAGAAGTAATATTGTCTTTTTTACCAACAATAAAAGCTTCAGAAGTAGTGATGGAGTTATCAGCCATGCAAGTAACTTACTTTCTAAGGCTATATCTAAGCTGGAACAGGAGTTTAAACAACTCTTATCATCATACAGGTTTTTTCTATCATTTTAAACTGTCCCTCTCTCTTGACAATCATCTTTTACTCTTCCATATGAGTTATCTTGATTATATACACACTAGTTGTGTACCCGCGCAATGCGGCGGGAGCCGTGAATTTTAACGATTTTGAAGTTCCGCTGGTTTTATTAGAGAAGATTTAACGATGATATAAGTTACACTTGGTCTTTGCATATTAATACAATTTGAATAATAAGAGTTATGGTTCCAATTACAGTCTATCGATGACAATAATTGTATGACAGTTTAAAATCCAATATATTTAAAATCCAACATATTTAAACGACTCCACAAATGTGTTCGATTTACACAAAGAGCAAAGAATCAAGAGATCAAGAGCGAGACCGAGAGTTCTAGAGCAATTGAATGGGAGATGAGTGGGAGAACTTTTAATAACTCATGGTGAATATCAGTTTGAATCTCATATTGGGGGATGGGGAGAAGGCATAGAGGTACGAGAGGGTGAAGACATGAGTGAAAGGTGCTAAAAGTATCTTGGGAACATGAAAAGAAAAGGTAATAATGTGCATTGGTAACTTGTACTATATGTTATTTTAATTGTAGATTAAGAAATTTTAAGACTAAATGCATAAAGTAGTAGTACTTAATGCATTATGAGTTGTTTTTAAGACTTTGTGCATAAATGTATAGTACTTTGTGCATTAAAAATTGTTTTTAAGACTTTTGATAAATCTGGTTTATAAGGTAGTATAGATAATTTCTGGTAAAAAGTTTTCTTATCTCAGTTCTCCAGGCGTTCATATAAATATGTATATTTAGCATAACCTTTGACACCTGCTTGTCTTTTACTGAACATTACCTTCCAGCAAATCTGTGGAACCTGATCGGCTATATGAATGCCTCCCTAATTCACTACGACCATCGTCTGGGTCACCTGATTCAAAGAATCCTTCTAATAGTCATACTGGTCACATTACTGCCGAGAATGCTGTTTTTACTCCCTTAATCCTCATACCACCACGGGTCCTTCCTTTGCTTCATGATTTAGCCCAACACATGGTGCAAGCTGGACACACACAACAGTGCCTCATTATTTACAGGTGAGATCTACTTTCATTTTCAATAATTGCCAAAAGTTTTCATCATTGTAATTTCTTCCAATATGAGATCATTTGAGAATGACACACCCATTTCCAAATAAATACAAGTAAACACAAATGAACAAAGTAGATGCTGTCAGATTTGATTGGTTATGTGGTGCCTGGTAGTATTTGTTTAGTGATGCGCTATGACCATATGCTAGAGAATGATACCCCTCACTTCTAGGCCCTGTTTGGTTTGTACGTTTTGATTGGATTGGATTGGATTTGCAGGGATTGGGAATTCAATTCCATTCAAATCCCATGTTTGGCTTGAAGGATTTCTTGGATTTGAAATCCCGGGATTAAAATTGAAATCCCACAAACATAGGATTTTGAAATCCCATGGGGGTGGTTGATATTTCATGGAATTTCGTAGGGTTTGTATGTAATAATGTTTTAGAATATGTTAAAAACACTGGTTTTGTAATAATCAATTACTAAAAAGATAATTTTTATAATTATTTATAATTTATTTTTATAAATAATGGAATTCAATTCTATTCCGAATCCTACTAACCAAACACTCCAAAGATTCCAAATTCTTCCAAATCCAAATCCTCCAATTCCAAATCCCTTCCATGAAATCCAAATCCCTCAAAATCATTCCATCAAACCAAACGCCCCCTAAGGGATTTGAGTCCTCCAAAGTTAGATGTGACAGAACTCGTGATTGTAGATTTCCTTATGTAACCATGGAGTAGCCAAAAAGAGTGCATTAACGTGAAATCTGGATAGCTACAAGCTCCAGTTTGTCCCCAAGGCCCATGAGATTTTTGGCCCAAATTCTCCTTATAACAGCACCTGGCTTCTGTTATATCTCAGCACATGATTAGCAGATTGAATTTTTGTCTTACTGAGAAGGTGAATTTTTGTCTCAAGGATAAAAAGGGTGTCAAATTTCTGGAAAAGAATTATAACTGGAAGACAGATTGTTTCAAATTGCAAAATTGCCAAACAATCTAATTATCAAGTAAAATTAGTTAATTCAACAGGAATGAGCATTTGCATATAAAAGTATTCTTGATGTACTTGTTGATTAGGGATACCCGTTCACCAGTCCTGGAAGAAACCCTTCAGAAATTGGGAGTGGAGAAGCTTAGCAAAGACGATGTCCAGAAGATGCAGTGGGAGGTCTTGGAACTCAAGATTGGGACTTGGATTCATTTCATGCGTATCGCAGTGAGTTGATTAAGTAATAAGTTACAAAAATTACTGAAACATGCTCTACTTAGTAACTAATCCTGTTAAACAGGTAAAATTGCTGTTTTCTGCGGAACGGAGAGTTTGTGATCAAATGTTTGAAGGCATTGAATCGCTTAAAGATCAGTGTTTTGCTGAAGTTACCGCAGGCAGCGTCGCCATGCTACTCAGTTTTGGAGATGCAATTGCCAAAAGCAAGAGGTCACCTGAGAAGTTATTTGTGCTTCTGGACATGTATGAGATAATGCGCGAGCTTCACTCTGAGGTATGATTATGTTCTCCTTTCATGGTAAGATGTTCTTATTGTAATGAGATGTGAACTGGATTGGAAAGCAAACGAATTTTCTCGTGAATATAATTATATAATAGGAGAATTGAAGTAAATATAGGTGAAAGATTTGACTGTCTAGTTACACTTTAAATGATCTGAAAGGAGTAAGTAATCTTGCCAGTTTGTTTCAAGTGGCTTTTCTAATCTTAAGAATCTCTTGAGAAGATAATGATGAATTTTAACATATGTATTTTGCAATAGTTCAATTACTTGAAGTTTATATCTATCATCATTATATTATATTTTGTTTCAGTATCGAGTTTCGTGGCAAAAGTTTTATTAAACAAGGTCCAATAGCCAGACCAGACCATAGCAGACTATCTGACTGTACTAGACTGCTCGTTCAACCCTTTATGCTGTTAAAGCAGTTATGGAAACCTTTTGGCTGACCCTGTCACACCATAAGTTGTCACAACTATAATAAGATTAAATTCAACCATAACGATGTCCACTGATTGTTAATGGGATTCAAATAAGTTGGTTCATGAATTGAATCATGAATTTTAAGTTTTTGACACCCATGGAACTGGAAGAGAGATCAGGTGTTTCAAGAGATTTGATGTGTCAGGAGATGTTAGAACCTGTGAAAACTGTTACCCTCCTGATGTAGCCCCCCACCGGAGTAATCCCCTCTCACGGGTGTAGCCCTCTATCACCGGCTTCACCCTCTCCCTAAGGCCTAGGTGTAGGTAACTCCCCTGTCCCCTGTCCAAAAAGCAAATAGAGGTCAGCGAGATGCCACCGCGAAATCAGTGTCGTCCGGTGGCCTAAGGGACATCATCATTTAGTACTCTCTTCCCCTCTTCACTCCTTCATGCACACCTTCACCTACGACCAACCTTCACCGTTGTCTTAGTATACCTTCGGCGCATCACTCCCCGTCTTATAGATCCACCACCCATTCTTCTACACAACTTCACGACCTTTCCCCCTGAAGCACCGCCATCGCGACCAATTCCTCCCTTGCATTTGCGCTTGCATCTTCCTGCAGTCACCACCACCATCAAACTACCCCAACAACTCCTTACCGCCACCACCAAAGATACCACCCCTAACAACGCAACCCTGTCACCATTGTTTTCTATATTATTTATCTTTTATATATTGTTTCTTTTTTAGGTGTACTTGCTGCTTTTCTTACCTCGGACATCTTGTTTCTTATGTTGTGTAGTTTATATTGCATTTATTTTAGTGTAACATATATTCATGTAAACGAGTGCGTGGTTTATTAGTGTACTAGATACTGATTTCATTGTCTACACCTGGTTAATTTTTGTTTACTTGCCTTTAATTATTGGTTAATTGCTTTTATTTGTGGGTTAAAAGACAATTAAACTACAATTAACCAGATTTGGACAATTAAAAAAATAAAATTAGTATATGCTATAGTGATAAACCACATATTGGTGTATCCAATTACATATGCTACACTAATAAAAATATTATGCTACACAAAGAAACTAGATATAGACAAGTAAACAATTTAAACTACAATTAACCGACAAATGGAAATTGTTGACCAACAATTGAAGGCAATTAAACACCATTAAGAGAATGAAATCAATATATGCTACATTAGTAAACAACACATGGGTGTACAAGAATATATATTACACTAATAAAAACAATATATGCTACCAAAAATAATAAATAGGATGTCTTGGGTAGGGGAAACAACAAGTACACCTCAGAAAACAAGATGTCCAAGGTAGGGGAACATCAAGTACACCTAAGAAAGCAATAGGTGATAATAAGATGTACACAAGATAAATATATGCGAAAACGACGGTAGCGGGTTTGCTTTCTCAGGGGGAGGTGTTTTTGGTGGCGGAGTTGCAGGGGATGTTGATTGTGATGTGGAAAGATGTAGGCATAGTTGTAAGGGAGAAGAGTTGATGGTGGCGGTGGTGCTGCAGGGGGAAAGGTCAAGAAATAGAGTAGAGGGGTGGTGGGTTGATAGGGGGAAAGGTCAGGAAGTTGAATATGGGTGGTGGGTCTATAGGGAGGGGTGCCTTCGTGCGTCGATGGGTAGGTTGATGCAGAGTAAGTGACGGTTGGTTGATGCAGAGTAAGTGACGGTAGGTTGATGCAACGTCGAAAGTTGGTCGTAGGCTAAGGCGTGATGAAGAAGGAAGAGTGAAGAGGGGAATGAGAGTACTAATCAATGATGACCCTTAGGCCATTCGAAGACACTAATTTCCTTGTGGTATTTTGCCGACCTATGTTTGCTTTAGGGTGGATGGAAGGATAAGGCTATAGGTTCGATGGAATAAGGCTAGCTGGGTTTATTTAATTATTTAAATTAGGATAAGTCTTTATTTGAGTATTTGAGTCTTTTCAGGATTGTTTATTTGGCAAGTTACATATTTGAGATTTTTAGGATTGTTTTTGTTAGCAGGACACTATAAATATGGTGCTCCATTGATTGTTTCTTCCTTAGGAAATTAATAAAATATGACCTCATCAGTTTTTAGGAGATCACTTGTTCTCAAATTCAGGTCAAGTTCATATTATTTGGTATCAGAGCTGTTCGGTTCTGGTAGCAAGATGGAGAGCAATACCGATCGGATCACCAATTTGGAAGCAGACATAGCAAAGATGCGAGAGGAAACATAGGCTAATCGCTCTGAGAACACGATGAAATTCCAAGAAGTGTTGAAGGCTATTAGCGACTTAATTCTAGCAGTCGGAAAAAATGAATCGAAGAAAGATAGAGGTATGGGATCAAGAATTGGATTTGGGTCGTTCTCTGATGATGAAGCTTCTGATGGAAAGAAAAGCAGCCAATTTGAAGGCAAGGGGCGGGACCCTTTGGGCGATTTCAGAAAAATTAAAGCTTCTATTTTCGATGGGGATGACCCGTATGGGTGGATCTATCGGGTTGAAAGATTCTTTGAAATTCAAGGCGTCAAGGAACATGACCATCTAAGGGCGGCCGCAATATGCATGGATGGGGCGGCTTTGGCTTGGTACCGCTGGTGTGAAGGGCGCGATCCTTTCCACTCGTGGGAAGATTTGACATAACGGTTGTTAGAGCGCTTTCAACCGTCTCAAGAAGGAGGGGAGTATGAGCAATTATTGGCAATTCATCAAGACGGGGCTGCACGTGAATATATTAGTAAATTTGAAAAGATGGCGGGGCCACTTGGAGAGAGCATTCATCAATGGACTTAAACCAGAACTCCGGTCGGTAATCAGAGTCTTGCAACCGGATACGTAGGCGCAAACCATGAAAATTGCAGTTAGGATGGACGATAATAAGTTTAGCATGGGAGGATCCATGGTGGGGGAGGTACGACTAGGGTTCCAAGTAACCTCCCTACCTATACCACCTACTCCGCAACCACGAGCGACAAGAAGGGTGGCACAAACACCAACACAACAGGACCTATGGGACAATTCAAAAGATTAACTGATGCGGATATCACCGATAAAAGGGCAAAGGGGTTATGTTTTCGTTGTGATGAAAAGTTTGCACCAGGCCATAAGTGCCCCATCAAGACTCTCCAAGTGCTCCTGGTGAATAAGGAGGAGAGTGACCAGGAAGATGAACCCGAACCAAATCACGCACACCTCGACACTGTGGAGGTATCCTTGAATTCGGTCAGTAGGCTTACCCCACCCCAGACTATGAAGGTAACATGCGACATCGGAGGAGTTCAGGTATTGGTATTGATCGACTGTGGTGCGGCGCATAATTTCGTGTCCACAGAAGTGGTCGACAAACTCGGGATGAAAGTATCGGACACGGTTGCGGTGAAAGTTCGATTGGGAAACGGTATGATGGAGCCAGTCAAGGGACTTGCAGAGGGGTTGTTTTAACACTACCGGGGCTCCAAATTGTAGAAAATTTTTACCCTCTGAAGTTGGGAGGATCAGACATTATTTTGGGCATCAAGTGGCTACAGACTTTAGGAGATATGACGGTTAACTGGCGGGAATTAAGGATGCAATTTTGGGAAGGCAACCGACAGGTCACCATTGTGGGCGACCCAAGTCTATCAAAAACCCTCGTCTCGTGTAAATCAATGACTAAAATATTGCAGCGGAAAGACACGGGATTCGTTTTTTTCATTTTTCAGAATTCGTACTTTTTGGGAAAACTTTTTTTCTTCTTGCACACTTTGCTCAAACCAGAGGTCTTCACAGAAACTACCACTCTACTCATTTGGGGTAGAGATCTAGTCTGTATACATCCTACCCTCTCCATACCCCACCTTGGGACCCCACCCCCGGGTGAGATATATAGGGTTAGTTTGGTCTAGTGCAAGAACTTTTTTGTGGGATAAATTGTCCTCATTGAATTTTTTTTTGTTCCCTAAATAAATTCTATGCATGGTTTTTGTTCCCATTTAATGTGTTTCTAGGCCGTAAGATCAAAAAATTGATAGCCTTAGATGTGTTGGAGCAAAGTAGGTCCCCTTTGAACACACATATGCACATTTATACATGCATACACAAAAGAACATATACATATATTGATCATAACATATACAAATATGTATGTATGCTGTATAAGCTATTTAACCTTTGGTTTGCCCATTTTACTCTTCATGTGTACCATGCATGCCATTTCTAAGATGCTTGACCAAGTTACGTTTAAAGTTAGGGCTGCACATGGGTTGGGTTGAGGGTTTTTTGAATGACCCAACCCAACTACTTCCGCCTAAAGAATCCTAACCTATTCAAAACATTTTTAATGTATAACCCAACCTTACTAATCACATTTGGGTTGGGTTCAACATGTTTTTAACAAGATATAAGAATTATCCAAATATAAGACTAAACATAAATCCACAAGATAGATATCACAGTCTTCCATAGAGATATTCTCATCCATAATACCAACAAGAATCACTGAAACCAAGAAATCCTAGGACTAAAAAGAAGAACTTAAGGACTTGTCTATGGAACTCCTTTGATTTGGATGAAACAACTTCGGCCTTTGGAACTCCTTAAATTTGGGACGACGTCAATTGAGATTCGAGACAACGCCAATGGAACACATAGCTTGACTAATGAAGTGAAGGTCTGAAGGGAGAGTTGAGTTTGGTTGGCTTGGTTGGGCCGGGTTGATTTGGGCCTGACCGATTTTCAACCGACTATCTCGACCTGTAGGCTTTAGGCATCAATCGGGCATCTGCCTGCTGAGGTTTGGGTTATTCGGGCCAGTTTTTGGATGGGTTGGGCAATCAGCCAATTAGGTTTATGTGCAGCCCTAGATTGAAGGACTAAATTGGGACAAAGTTCTCCAGTTAAGGACAACAACTGCATAGTTTTTTCATGAAGAACAGATGCTGCAAATTGCCATAATAGTTCATTGATGAGTTTGTCATTAGCCCAAAGCAAGTGTGCTTGATATTTCACATAATTGCTTCTAACTTATGTTACTTTCTCAGTTAATACATAACTATGTAATTATTGCATAACTCTCTGCATCTTATGATAATGACTTCTACAATCTGAAAGGAACCCTTGTTCATTTAAACTGTAATTTTTAACGGTGAGATTCAATTAAGTTCACCTTGGAGTCTGTATATGGATTTCGTTGATAACTGAAATGAATGAAGTTAGCACTTATACACTGAATCTTTGCAGATCGAATCACTTTTCGTAGGGAAAGCTTGCAAAGACATTAGAGAATCTGCTCTAGGTTTGACGAAGCGACTTGCACAGACAGCGCAAGAGACATTCGGGGATTTTGAAGAAGCTGTTGAAAAAGATGCAACAAAAACAGCTGTGTCGGATGGAACGGTCCATCCTCTCACAAGCTATGTGATCAACTATGTGAAGTTTTTGTTCGAGTAAGTTAACTAAACTATGTCTTATAATTCTCTGCCGTAAAATATATACAGGTCAAATTACAATATATTAGTCTCACGAAATTCATTATGGTCTTGCTGTTGTTACTGTTTACCATCCACAGTCCTTTTAGCATGCTTGCAATCTAGCATTTTTCTCCTATGCCTTACGATCTCCATTGTCTTTTCAAAATCCCCAGGAATAGAAAAAATACTTTTTGACAAAGCTTGTCTCTTCAAAGTTTTGTTTCAAGCCGGGGGGGGGNGGGTGGGGTTCACAGAAACGGTCTCTCTACCTCTTGGTGTAGAGGAAAGGTCTGCATACATCCTATCCTTCTACGGGTTGGGTTCCGGTGAGAAGGAGAGTTAAGGTGAGAAGCATAAGAAGGGATCTCCACCCTTGGATGCACATTAAGATGAGATGCACCGGACCAATCCCCGTATCAAGCGCGATTCATGGGTGTGTTTGAGATTAAAGGTGATCAAAGATCCAGATCCCTTCTTACGCTTCTCACCTTAACTCTCCTCACACGATCCTTCGTGATCCCCCTACACCCTACTTTCAAGTGGGATATTGGGTATGTTTGGTCAAGTCTTGCCAAATTCATGGCAACATAGCTGAAGAAGGCACTTGCTTATTTAACTTATAATCTTATGTGAGCATTAGTGCAAAACAATGACCTTTTGGTGGTAAATTGTTGATTAAATTGGTAATAAATTTGTGATAATAATCAATATATTGGTGTTAAAAAATAAACCCTAAAATATAAACGCTCAATGCACATTGTGTAAGTCATCAATGCATGTTTTGCAGATGCGCATGGGACTATATAATTATTCTTTATAGAAAACTTCTTATATTTCTATGATTAGTATTATTATTTCTCCTTCCGTCCCAAAATAAACGTCTCCATTTCTATTTTAGTTTGTCCCAAAATAAGTGTCTATTTTCCATTCTACCCTTTAGTTATGGAGAAAATTTCTCTCTCTATTATTAAGGGTAAAATTGTCTTTTACTTAATTGAAATGGGTAAAATTGTCCTTTACTTAATTGAGAAGGGTAATAGTTACACATTCCTAAAGTAGTGTCATTTTTCATTGTGGACATTTATTTTTGGGACTGAGGGAGTATAATTCTAGTGAGATTAAGTGGACACCTGTTGAGTATCTGATTAGTTTAATCACAACTATTCTTGTTTCTAAAATGATGCTGAATTTTTTTTTTGGTATCTCATTGCCTAATCAAAATTCATACATTCTGCTTTACCATACTTACTTATCCCTTTTGAAGGCAAAACTTTTGCAATCCTAGACCTGATGAATTGGTGACTAGGAGACTGCTGAATGCTTAAAACCCCATCATTTGAATTATATAGTATTTTGAAACGATCAAACTTTGTTGATTCAGTTATCAGTCGACATTGAAGCAACTGTTCCAAGAGTTTGAAAATGGGGAGGACTCGAATTCTCAGCTGGCATCTGTAACAATGCGAATCATGCAGGCCCTTCAAATCAATTTGGAAGGAAAATCCAAACAGTACAAAGATCTTGCTCTCACCAATTTGTTTCTTATGAACAATATTCACTATATGGTCAGATCCGTGCGCAGGTTCGATATCTACATAGTAATTAGTCGAAAGAATCATTAGCTTGTCTTTGATGACGAATACCTGTTCTCTATTTCTCTAGTATTATTTTCTAAATTTTTGGCATTAGATCCGAAGCAAAGGATTTGTTGGGGGATGATTGGGTGCAAAGACACAGAAGGGTTGTGCAACAACACGCTAATCAGTACAAAAGGATAGCTTGGCAAAAGGTACATTTCTGTTTGTATATCAAAATGTTTGAAAATACAATGTTCTACTTCTAACCTTCCAACGATTCTTTTTCTGAGATGTCTCTAAATGGATGCAACGGTACCCTTTCCTGCGTAGTTTCAATCCAAAAGTACCTCCTTAATTGCCCCACTTTCTGAAATAAATCCAGCAATTTCCTTTTTGAGATGTCTTAAACAATTGCAATAGTTCTTTTCTCACGAAGTTCCGGTCCAAATTTCCTCTGTCCATTAGTTATCGTTGCAAAAACATTTATATCTTTGATTTTGGTCCGCAAGATTCTCCTATTTTGTCGTTGACAGTACTTCAGATAATGGACTAATAGTCGAATTCGTTCTCCCAGTCGAACGTTATATTTATTTTGGGACGGTGGGGCTATTGTTTTTTGCATGCTCAATTACCTCATGTTCATTAATATACATATAAAGTTATATAAAAATTAAATTATTTCTAGCTATTGGACAATTTTCGACTCATTTCTTTTCGAACAATTTCATATAAGAAATATAACTTTTTTGTGTTGTTTCCTTCATTAGATCCTTCAATGTCTCTCTATTCAAGGTTTGACCTCATCTGGAGGTGGTAGTTCAGTTGGTGGTGATGGAGGAAATAGCAGTGGAGCTTCGCGGGCACTCGTAAAAGATAGGTTTGTTCTAACATCCCTACAATTGGGGTCATATCCTTAAAAATGTCGAAAATATTTAAAAAATTTGGCAAATGATAAATTGAAATGTGGCGCTATTAGGTTGAAGATCTTTAATGTTCAGTTTGAGGAGCTTCATCAAAGACAATCTCAGTGGACGGTTCCTGATACAGAGCTACGAGAATCTTTGAGGCTTGCAGTCGCTGAAGTCTTGTTGCCTGCATACCGATCCTTCATCAAACGTTTTGGGTACAGTTCCCTCAGGATTTTGCATGCTTAATCGTAAACTTGAGATCGAGTTTACAAAAGATATCTTGTTGTCTGTGATGCATTCTCTGTTTACTGTCATACATCTCACCCCATGACCCTACATTTGCGTAAGACTTTCCTGTTTTTGATTTCAGGGCACTTGTTGAGAATGGGAAGAATCCCCATAAATACATCAGGTATACAGCAGAGGATCTTGACCGGATGCTTGGCGAATTTTTCGAGGGTAAGACTTCGAGCGATGCCAGACGGTAGATATTGTACTCCCAGAAAGATAGAAAGATATGTTGAATTAAAGGAGAAGATACTTGCTATACACTGTATTTAGGGTCTTGTGGAGGCAACTAGTGTTGAATTACTCTTTTACCCTTGTGGTAGTGTATCCTGTAGTTGATGATAAGGGCATATATGGTCTTTTTGTATCTATTGAGGTAAAGAAAGATACGGGTAAGTAACAAGTAAAAGAAAAGGCAGTGCTAAACGTCCATTAAATTGTCTCTTAGTTGATATTACTGTTACTGTGAACCATTCTTTTGTAATTGTGTATAGATTTGTGTTTTTCTCTCTTCTAATTGTATTATACGCGGTATTTGATCTTTGGTTTCCGACCAAGGCTATGGAATTTGAGGTTATCATCGTATGTACTCGAACCGGAAATTTTCCCCTTATAGAAGATTACAGAAAAAGAGTGACGTTAGAAGAAATTACTATCAACGACATGTTTGTTACGAGTAAACTCATAATATTCATATCGATTTATTATTCACGCTCTCCTTTTAGCATATAATAAAACCTTATATAATATGGTATACTCCATCCTATGGAGCACCCCCATTGTGCCAATCTCACGATCATCATGGGAGAGGAAAACTGCGGTGTCATAGAGGCAAGCCCCTGTCGAAGGTTTAACGAGCTAGTTACTTGAGCTCGAGCTCGTTTATCTCTCTAACTTAATTAATATTTAGTTCATGTCGATCTCGAACACAAAATAAGCTCATTTAATTTGAGTTGTCGAGCCACTAAATGCTTGTAACCGGTACATGCATCAAATGTACAAGGCATTTAGTAGTTCCCAACCTCGCCAGTTCACCCCACCCACCCGCTATAGACACATAAACATTATTTGCATAAGCTATGGCGGCACATCAACCACAATAGCCACCACAACAGGACGAGGACGAGGACACAGAGACTGACTTGTACGACGATAACGACACAAAGACCAACGATAACGACACAAAGACCAACCAGTACTATGATTAGATATTTATGTATCAATATGTTTGAGAAATTAATGTTTATTTTATGTGATTAATTTTGTATCATGGTTTTTAAATTATCTTCTAGTTATTTGAATAAAAAATTATTTTATAGTTATTTGAATATAAAATTATTTGAATAAAACATATTTTATAACCAAATTTAAATAGCTAAAAGAAATAAAATTTCACCTGTAGCGACAACATATCATTGCAGTAAGTAAAAAGTTAAAGTTCAACTTTTACGTACGGCGTCTACATGTCGGCGCTACAGAAAATGTTTGTTTTTTATTTTTCACCTATAGCAACGACATGACATTGAAGCAGATACAAATACAATTTTTTTAGGTTTTGGCGATGATTTTGTCTTGACGAACAATGACGAGCTCCATAGCGACGATCGTTGTCGCAATATACCTATAGCAACCAAATTTAGATCTTTAGCGACAACTTTGGTAGTTGCAATAGGTTAGATTTGCTCTACTCGACTTGGCTCGTAAGAAAGTTTGATTAAAAATTTTCGAGTTGAGTCGAGTCATTCGGACATTCATTTTATTGAGCCAAACATATTCATATGTTCGTAAACCATAGAATCAAAATATAAATCATTGAGTTCGAGCCATAAACGAGCTCATAATGCTGAAATTTGAAGTATAATATATCACTCAAATTTGTTAAAAGAGTATCGAGCTTGAGCTCAAACATTAAAAAATATTTGAGCTTGAGCATATTTTGAAAAGTCATTCAAGCTCAAATCTAGTATTATTTTCTTAAATCGAGCTCGAACAACCAACTACTCCTCTCGACTAATCAACACCCTATATACCCCTAATTTAAACTCACGACCCCATGTAGTATTCCTAACATGAGTATCTCCAAAATTAAAAAAAATAGAATTTTTGAAGTGATTTTTAATAGCATCCATCCACAATGGAGGTTCTTGTTGAGATTCCTCTTAGTTTTTTTTTATTTTACAAAAACCTCCATTGTGGGACATAGGTTCTTGTCGAGTCACATTTTTTATATTAGAACCCAGGTGCTTGAACAAGAACCCAGATTCTTGTATACATTCTATTTTAGTTATTATTTTATTTCTTAACCATTTTATTTATATGTAATCAATTTATAAAACATATAAGTTAAAAACAATACCAAAAGATATAAATCAATTATTATATATAAATAAAACTTTTGATTTTGTTTTTGTTTTTGTTTTTTAGGTTTTTATATAAATTATTTGTATTAATAAATTTTTAATTATGTTTAGATTATTTTTCATATATTATCATATTATTAAGTTTAAATTAAAATTAAAATTTATATCAATAAGTTTTAAATTAAAATTAATATAGAAAAGTGAAAATTAATATTTTATATTTGAATTTTTTTATAGTCTTATAGAATATATAATTTATAAGATTACATTTTACAAATTAAAAAAAATAAAATGAAAAGTGAGGTTTTTGTTTGAACCTTCGTTATAGAGTTTTATTGAGATTCTTATTTTATTGATGTGGTAATATTGTGACATGAAAAAGAAAATGAAAAATGAGGTTTCTAAAGGTTCCATCACCGTAGATACTCTTAATTTAAGAGAAGTTTTAAAACGTTCTCCAAAATGAAGGAAAAAAAACGAGAGAGAGTAATTTTATTTCCATATTTGAAAGATAATATAATTAATATAAAAATATTAAAAAGTGAAGAAAAAAATAAGACAATCTTTTTCCCCCCCATATTTTGAAGAGAGAAAAACTTGTGAAGGTAAATTTATTGTTTTTTTTTACTTATTTTAGAGAGGTAGAAGAATGAAGAACATTAAGTTTGTACAAACCAACCAATCTTTTGATTTATGAAACGATAGAAAATAGGAACCCTAAAACTCTCAAGAAGAAAAAAGAGTGTTTACAGTACTGAATCGATAACGAAAAAAAAAATGATTTAAGATAGCTCTTAAACAGAAATTACACAATTGATCCTTGAATTTTTACCAAAAATGCAGCGGCGTCCTTCAGCTCTTAACAACAACAGTTCAGATCCTCAAGTTTCCAGAAATCTACAGAAATACCTTTTTCAACATAATTTCCTACAAAATAAGATAAAAAGCTTATAAATGACAAGATTAAACTAGAATAGACAATATTTAACAAAGTTATAGTTTTATTGAAGTATTAAATATAACAAATATTTTAATTATAAAATTTATATAATAATATCCAAAATGTAGGAAAATTAAGAGAAATGTTTTCTTTTCCAAAATTAAAAAAAAAGATATTCAGATTTAGATTTTAGTAGTGTCTCCAATAGAATTTTTAAAATGATGAGATCGAAGATTTTGAAGTTTTTCTTGTATTTTCTTTTGCTCTAACAAAATCCAAAGACTTTTTCAAGAATGGAGAAAATAGCAGACCTGTTATGGTTTAGTACCCAATTCTCAAGTAATATAATGTCTCAAGTATGAGATCGTACCATTAAGATTCTAAATTAAAAGAAAAAACTATTTATGTTATGGTTTAGTACCCAATTCTATCAATAATGAAAAACATGTAATGATGATCATATATATTTTTTAGAAATTCCAAATTCCCCATTTATCTCTTAATGACCCTTATTTTTACCAGTTATCTCAAATATAGTTAATCTATATAACATTAACTCTTGCATTGTTCCCAAGTAGCTCAATGGTACGTAAAGCAATGAGTTATGAACCAATTGATCATTGCTTCGAATTCTATTTGAAGAGATTTTAAAATCACCAGATTAACACCTTGATGTTGGTCTACGATGCTCCTCAATTCCATAGCCGAAATGCTATTTACAAGAATCCAATTAAATTGGCTTTAATATACAAAAGTTTACAAGAAATTTCAAATAAGTCACTCATTTATAAAAACGTTGAAGGAAGTCACCAGCTTTCAAACATGTCATTTATAGAAAATAACGCAAAATAATGAAAAATGAAATCGACTAATTTTTTTGGCGGTTAAGAAAATTTCGATACGAAAAACCTAGGAATGAAAACCGTCGAGGGGAGGGAATAGTTTACATTGTCAACTTGTCGTCATAGTGGGAAGGGAGGGGAGGGGAGGGGCGACAACAGATGGTGGATGGTGATGGTAGGTGGGAGACGCTGACAATGGTTGACAACGGTTTAATAACTTGTGTCATACAACTTATATCGTACAAATCGTTGTTGCAAAAATTTCAAATTTCAAATTTCAAACTTCATATTAACATTTTAATTAAGTTTTTTAAATTTTCAGAAGAGTCCATGAAATTTGTGTTATTATGATCAGTTTAAAGTTTAAAATTGAATAAAAGGGTATAAAGTCATTGCATCAAATTTAATATAATTAAATGACACCAATATAAAGTTGTGTGGCCTCTTTTGACCTTTTGATATTTATCAAACTTTAGTATAATTCCTTTATATTAAACCTTAAAATATTTTAAATGCATTGGTACTATTAGTGCATAAAAACGTAGTCATTGGTTTTTCCTCAAGGCCATACGCTACTTAAAAAAACGTTATCACCGATGGATTTTTCTGGCGGAAATTTCGTCGGAAATATTCTCGACGGATTTCCGATGGATCCCAAACATATCAATTTCTGTTAGTTGTGAGCAAACATATCAACGAGGGGAAATGCATTTTTGTTATGCTACTAATACTTGTATTTGCCATACCATTTATCTCATCCTAGATGATGAGAGTTACTTGTGTGTAAAAAAAAAAAAACAAAAACATTCGGAAAACAACTCAAGGTACATTCACCACAAATAGCAGGTTCTGTCTTTTGGAGTTTTGACATGTTGCTGTGCAGAGGAGGTCTCAATCGAGTTTTTTTTAGAGTTTTCACATATTGTTATGCAGAGTCGGACTCATTTTCTTTCCCATATGATGACACCATTTGACTATAAAGAATAAATGTATACAATTATTTTGCAAAATGATTATAGATCTGTTAGTTTTCGTTAGTTTGTTCTTTCTCTCAGCAAGGATAGATCCCGTGTTTGGCCTTTCTTACCGCCTTTTCTTTCAAATATTTTTAGATTAAAGTTGAAATTAAAATAGAGAAAATTTTCAAACAATTTGTACCCTTTTGAAGCTAAAACTTAACACAAGAAGGCACACTAACCTTGCCACCACCATATATAAACTTGTGTATGTAGTTTAATTTCAATAAATAAAACATATTATAATATAAAACATTATAACAAATGCAACTTTAAGCCCCTAATTTCTTTCCACTGCATCACGACAATGAAGCGAGAGCATAAGCACCACTCCTCTCTCTATTTAGG